AGACAATCGCTGAATGCCTTGGACGAGCTGACTTCCTTCATAGGTACACTCGAACCCAAAAGCTATTCAGATCTAATGACTAAATGCACGGTACCACGGCGTTCAAAATCTTGGTTTTAATATCAGCAGCAGTCAGCACTCCATACCACGTCAAAGGGAAGGCGCGTATGATGTTACGTCAATGAGAAATGCCCCAATACTCCACTCTTTCGAAGCGTGATGTAAATGTAATTACTTCGTCAAATTAGCTCCTCTCAAACACGTGGAAAGTTCGAGTGATTAATTAATCGATTTCTTACGTTACAAACAAATGGATCGTCAAATAACAATACGTACAGGGAAAATGCGCTGACTTGTAAAACACCTTGCGTTGTCGTTCGTTAGCACAGAGCTCTAATAAGCGCTTTAGTGCCATACACAACTTATTAACGTACCCATGAGGAAGAGGTTCAGATGTCGGCCGTTCCCATGTTGTACTTCTAGTGTTGTGGTCAACATAGTACCTTCGTCCATACTCGTCGAAACGAGTTTCCCAACCGAGAGGAAGAGGGTCTTCTTCTGTACCAGCAGGCCTAGTTGCAAAAGCGCCGCTATTTATAGGCGTACCCATCACATCTGAACGTGGTTCCGAAGCAATATCCGGTAAAGCATCGGCAACTGGCGGTACGCGAGCAACACTGTTGCTTGATGACGCAGTGTCGGTAGCAACAGGATCTAAGAACATGCGAGTGAACGCATCCGTCAAGCTTAGCACCGGACGATCACGGCCACTCAGCCCCGCCCTACGGGTTCTGTTTCGAATCCGATGGCGCGGTGGAACTAACGGTGTGGCCTCGCTATCGTCGTCGACCGCAGGCGTCGCCACCGTGGCACTGGTGCCAGAGGTCAAGTTGGCGGCGACGTTGCCGGCCGAGTTCGAATGTGGCATCGCGCACGCGTGGTCAGAAGCCAGAGAAGCCGATGATGTAGATCCGATGTTCTGCGAACTGGCCGAATGTTGAAAAAAGGTACCCGAATCTGAAGTTCCGACTTCGCCGTTGACGACTGCTGTAGCAACAAGTGCTGTACCAGAATCGGAGGCTAAAACTATTTCATGCAACAGAAATGAAAAGAAACAGTTTGTTCTTACATAGGTATTTGTAATAAAACTTAAAGTAAATACACGGTTTGTCAAGAATAACAATTCAAAAGGGCTTAACTACAACGATATATCAATACCTGCGATATGTCTCTTTCGCCTAAACCTTTATCACGGCAAAGTTTGAGTTCAAGCTGCAGGTCGCAGTCGTCTGCAGATAACCTGCTGATCCAAATATCCACAGTTGACAACAAACAACAACAACAAACATTATCTTCATCCCGTAAGGTCTGTGACAGACAGAAAACACGGATCTTATTAGTTAGACATGAATACCAAATTACGACGTATTTACTGTTACTCCGAAGCACTTACAAAAG